GCATGTGTGCGTGCTTGAGTAATGGTCCATTTGGTAAGGCGGGCTGCAGCAGTATCTCTGCCGCAGGTTCAGATTATACCAGATCCGCAGCAGCCCACCTGGTCCTCGGGGTCGTCGATGAAGGTGCTGATTGGCACTGCGTTCTCGGGCTGGAAGATGTAGCAGTGGGGGCTGTTGTCCACTATAACAGTGGATGCCAGGTCGCGCCCCAGGCAGCGCAGGTCTTTGGTGTAGCTCCCCTGCGCACGGGCGGCCGGTTGCAGCGGTTGTGGCATCAGCGGGCGCAACGGCTGACCTGGCCGCCCGGGGCAACGGAGCTCGAGGGAGCGGGGCACAGCGGTCCGCAAGGCTTGCGCACAGCAATTGCGGGGGCTGCTTGCAGCCGCCCTCCAGGTCCACACAACAGGCTTCAGATGTGCCAGATCCCCGCGATTCACCCCACTCTGGCATCTGGCATCAAGAAGCATGTGTAGCCTCGTGAGTGTATCAACCAGTTATTGCCCCTCACCTGCAGGGGCAGGCAGGCCTCCCTGAAAAGCCGCCACCGAACTGTCTGGGTGCTGTCAAGCAGGTCAAGCAGGGGGTCGGCGTACGCGGCCAGGCTGGCCGTGAACACCACCACCTGCGCGTGACGAGTTGAGCAACAGCACCGTGCAAATCTTTAACCCTGATTCGAGGTCAGGGCTGCAGGCCACACTCTGCAGCAGGCAGGAGGTCAGGCCCAGCTTGCTTGCGCTTGCGTGCGCTGCCGTCGGCGCGGCTTGTAGGCGGCGGGCCACCTCGCCTCCCGCTGCCCCCTGGCCCCCGCCGGCGGCGCCTCACCTCAAAATGCTGCCCGACGGCGGCGAGGAACTCGTCCACCCAGGGGCGCTTGATCACATACACGTCCACCAGCCGGCCGTCGACGTCGACGGGGACGATGTAGTCAGGATTAGTAACCGGGCGGAAGCTGCTGTGCACCAGGGTCTCGTCCAGGTCAAGCACGAGGGTTTTCTTCAGGGCGTCGGCGGGCCGCTTGGGGCCGATGACGGCGCGCGGCTGCGGCGACGGAGGCCGCGGCAGCACGTGCTGCCGCGGCAGCGGCGCGGCCGGCGCGGCGGGGGCTGCGGCGATGGAGCCGGTCGGGGCAGCGCTTGCGATGATGCAGGGGCCGCTGGTGGGGCGGGACATGAGCTCGCGGCCGGGCGGGGCGCGATGGGGGTTGACCGGCTGCTGCTGCTGCTGCTGCTCCTGCTGCCGCTCCTGCTGCTGCTGCTGCTGCTGCTGCTGCTGCTGCTGCTGCTGCTGCTGCTGCTGCTGCTGCTGCTGCGGCTGATGCTGCTGATGATGATGCAGCGCCAGCTGCTGCTGCTGCTGCTGCTGACGATGGTCAGCTGCATGCCCACATTCTGGGTGCTCACGGCGGTGCATGGAGCCGGCGACGGCGCCAATTCGAGCGGTGCATGGCGCCACCACGCCCGCCCGCGCACGGGGGGCGACCGCGACCCGCGCGACAGGCAGCTGCAGCTGGGACGCCGCGAGACGGGCGTGCGGCGGCGGCGCGAAGCAGCACAGGACAGACCGGACGCGAGCGCGCCACCCTGGGGCGGCATTTGGGGGCAAGCTGCCCCCGTTGATGGAGGGTTCGCTCCAGCTGCTATCACTGCTGCTCAGGTTACTGCTTGTGCTTGCCCTGTTTGCACCGTCAGCTTCATATGTTTCCTCCAAGGTGACGGCCAGCGGCACAGCCGCGCTGTGAACGCCGCTGCTGTTGCCCAGCTCAACGTCGGTCATGGGCCCCCTGTGGCGCGCCAGCGTCTCGAACATATCGGGGCTATCGTCTTTGTCCTTTCAAGCCGGGTCGGAGGGACGTCCGGACGCAATTTAGGTCCCGGTCGTGTGGGTCACTCAGCTCGATGTGGCCGGGTGTCCGCTATGCACGCGCCGACCGTGACGGCTTTTGAAGGGCTACTGAAAAAATCCTATATGTGGTGGAAATCTAGGGGTCCGACGGGGCCAGGAGGCTCCTCAGCACAACGACACCGTGCATGCCCGCAGAAGCACGCTGGGCTGCGGCCTTGGCAGAATGCATGACTATGATAGAATGAACTCTGTGACATTCATATCTGAGGCCATGCTCTTTAAAGGGCATGGAGCGCGTAACTCACTTGGGTTGGTGGCCGCGTTGCTGCTTGGGTTCTCAGCAGCTGTGAAGCCCAAAAAATGAATACTTGACTTATCTTGAATGATGGAGAACGCTCGCAGCTGGGACTGGCCACACCTGGGTCTTCGTCCGGTCTTGAGAGACCAGGTCCGGCCACCCTTTCAGCCAACGCATACGCTATTGCTCAAACCATCAGATCAGGGACTACTGCACCCATACAAAGCATCAAGGCAGGTTCTAATGGTTTTAAGCCATAGCCTGGAGTGGAGTTGCCCTGTCAGTGCCCTGGACACCGCCATCCTGGTGAGCAACATGAGCAAGCGTGTCAGCCCTTGAAATTGATTTCTCTGGCAACAGTTACGGCCTCGCCATTCCCCAGCTTGCCACGATTGCCACCGTGGCTCAATCCGTCTGAACTTGCCATTGTCTCATGCAACCAAGCGGACCCAGGATGCAACAGGCACAGAGCACGTTTCTCACAGTTACTTTGGGATGCATAAGCGAGTGAGCGCGCTTGGCAGGCCCTTGATGGCGCAAACGCACACGGCTGAATAAAGTGGGGCCCGGCCACAAGAAAAGAGGTAGCAGGTGCAGCAAGGCACAGACATCAGACAAAAGACACACAACGATCCAGTTGCTGCAGCTAAGAAACAGAAACACGATCAAACGTGGTCACACAAGGAAGAGCTCAATGCACATGGAATGCCGCAAACCTCAGCGGCAAGCCACGCACGCTGGCCTGCCAGCACTGTCGAAAACTGGTGGTTAGCACGCGTCCCTGCAGCTCCAGCACGCTGCCTTTGACTCGGTCTGCTGAACCAACAGCGGCTGCTGGTCGCTGGAGGCAGCGGCGGCGACAGCAAGGCGGCATCTTGATACGTGACGGGCTGCTTGGGGGCTTGGGCCATGCCGGCACCCGCTGGCGCCGTGTGTCGGCACTACGCTCGTACCAGGGGCTGTGCAGTAAGCATTGCCGCTATGCTATGCTGGCGCGCGGTTGCCCCTCACAGCAGCAGCGGCTGCAGGGTGACCTGACGGGCCGCAGGCGTGGGCCGCTGCCGATTGCCGCCGAAACCGGCGGCAACACTGCCCCTCCCAGCAATTGACGCCGCGCCTCGCGCCACGAGCAGCGAACAGCTGCGTGGCCGCCAGCAATCACCGGCCGGTTGTCTGCATGAGGGTGATGTTGTCTCCCTTCAACAAGATGCGGCCCAGCGGCTTTCTGCTGTTGCGCTTGATGGAGACCTCCTCGGCGTCGTCCAGCACAAGGTTCATGTACTCGTCGAAGCCGATGATGCGACCCTCTATCCGCAGGTCCCGCTGGTCGTACAGCCATATCTGTATTTTCGCTTTGCTTTGCAGGAACCTGAAGATCAGGTTGATGGGCTGCGTCATGATCTTCTGCACCTTGGTCGCCATCTTTGCAAGCTGTTGAAAAGCCTAATTGACGTTTTTTGTGCCGCGGTGCGGGCTGACAACGTGCGGGGTCGGCAGGAGTGATCTGGGCGATCGATGGCGGCTACGGAGGAAGTAGCGGGTTAAAATATTTGTGTGTAGAACCGTGATTCGTTGTGACAAGCCTGGCCCACACGCCAACGTTCCAGGCATGGGAATGCGCAAGGTCGGCCGTGCGCAGCTGCGGACGGGCGAGCACAAGTGGGAGCCGAAACCGCTGAAACCTGGGGGCAATCCATTGCATATACCATCATAGAAGCAGAGAGGGTGTTGCTGTTGTGCATCAGTAGCTGTAGCCGACGAGGCATGGTCGATACGCACATGTGCGGGGGTGCCTGGGGTGGTGGCGGTGAGCACACCTGTAACTCGGTGCGCGCATTCAGCGCAGGCATGAGCACGTCCTTAGCATGGAGCAAACACACCCATTGAACTTAGCCACGGTGCATAAGCCAGACATTCAGGCCCATCACTGCACAGCACACACCATGGCAAGGGGGGCATCACAAGGGCAGAAGAGCATGACACATACACAACCCACCAGTCAAAGGGTTCCTCGGCCAACATGCCGGCTAACCTCCACAAACACACGAAACCTCCTTGACCACTGAGGTCGCTGCGGCACAGTAGAATGCTGGTATTGTACTGAGGCCCCTGAACGGACCAGATTATGCGATGAAGCTGTGGCGTGTGATGAAGCACCCGTGCTAGCCCAGACGGAAGGGCCGACCCAGCTGCAGCCTAAGCACTGCAGCAAAGTGGCATTGGCCGTCCATGCCTCGCCCCTCTACCCTCAACACCATGCCCACTGCTGATTGATCTGTAATGACACCCAACGCACTGCACGTGCCTAGCGCTCCACAATACCGAGGCCTGCGCACAGTTTGAGCCAAGACATGGTGAGAGCCCTGGCAAGCAACTGCGGCTGTCAACCCCCTTGCTTCTCATCTGCCAAGCCAGCCCAGGCCAGCTGCCACCTGGCAGGGGCCGTTGTCAGCACCAGAAGGTGAGGATATGAGCCCGACAGCAAGAGCGCTGCGAGGAGTGAGCGCGCACAACTCTGCAGGCAGGCGCCTGGTTCGCGCCAACAAAAAGACAGTGGCGTGGCGCGACGTGCGCGCAGCCGACGTGCGGGCGCTCGACTGTACTGCTTTCTGCGCCACAAGGGAACTGACCAGCCCCAGCTTGCGCATTGCGCATGGCTCATGCGGACTGGATGATACGTGCGGCCTGCCTACACCACCTTTGATATGTAACCAGCTCGGCCTTGCACCAGTGCCCACCAAAGCCGGAGGGGGGGGGTTCAAGCACAGCTGAGACATACCTGTACTTGCCATGGCTGGTATTGGCTCTCCAGGGTTGCTTGAGACTTGACTGTACTACGGAGAGGGATACACACCACTGCAGATACCAGCTCGAGACAGATCGGGTGCACGGTGGGGATTACGAGTTCAGCGCAATTACACAACTTCACACAGCAGTGAGATGAGCGGCGCGGCTGCGCGTGCTGCTGCCGACCACCGGGAGGGGAGGCGACTAAGACTTGTGCAATCTACACAGAAGGGTATGATGCCGCACACCAATTTGAGCGAGCAGAGACAGGCGCGAACAACAGAAGCACGAGACTTGCAAATCAAGGCGAAGGGCGACATAGCAGCAAACCTGCTATTTCCAAGGCGGCAGTATAGCTGCCACGCCGCGAAAGAGCGATTCACACCCAAAGCAACGCGGTACGGCCGTCGCCATCCCAAGCATAACCTGACGCCACAGCACAATCTGACGCCACAACGGCCAGGAACACGACGGCATGTCAAAAGTGGATGTATTGTGGTGTTGTTGCCCTTGGTGCTGGTTGCGGACAACGCAAGGCCAGGCCAAGCCCGCCGGGGAACAGGTGTGGGTGGCAGGGGGGCGGCCTGGCAGCCGCCCAAGCGGTCGCCCGCAGGGTGTGAGTGTGTGTGTGTGTGCGCGAGGTCTCTTATTGCCGCGCGGATGCGCACGCGATTCGGCTGTGCGGCCTCGGGCATGCTCCTGGGACGAGACAATTGCCGCATGACGGGTGGTGTAAACTGTATAGGTACACTAGATACCGAAGGGAGTGGAGACGCAAACCGAGAGGCCGAGTGCAATGTGCAGCTCCTTGGGCGCCGATAAAACAACGCAGCCCAGCCTTTCACGCACCGCTGCAGCAGCCTGGGCCAGCACAGCACGAGGCTGCGGGCCAGTGCAGCTCTCAGTGCGCGCCAGGGGGTGGCGTGTGTGTCGCTTGCGGTGCGCGCAGGCGGGCAGGTCCATGTGTTGGTGCCTGGCCACCACCCTGCCGCATCACATCCGCCGCATCACATCCGTGCCGAATGAGGACAGCAGCTGGACAGCCATGGAATTGCTCGTTTGTGACTGTGGAAGAGAGGCAGCGGCGACCGGGGCATGCGCCCTCCGCCACGGCCGAGGCAGCTGCGCCGCACATGAGCGCCGCATGCGCGGGTGCCACGCCACTGCGTTGGCGCCTTGGCGCTGTTGCCGCGGGGCCTAGCACAGCGGGCAGCTGCTCCAGACCGCACAGGTCCTGCGCCGTAGCAGGTGCGAACTGCAGCGCAGGCACGCACGTATGCGGTAGGCTGCGCGCTCGCAACGTCGCCGCGCTGTCGTTGCTGCGCCCTCAAGCGCCTCGCCTTGCTGTCCTTGGCACCCATTCCGCAGGTGGCCCGAGCTGCTGGGCTGTGGTGGGTCATCTGTGCGACGGGCGCGGCGCTCCTCAGCTGGAAGCTGGCCGCTGGCGCCAAGCTGGCACGCACCCCTCGCTCAGCGATCATCCCTGTCAAGCGTGCGTCCGTTGTGCCGCTCCGGGGGTGGTGTCTGCCGCCTAGGCACCCTCCCGGCTCGCTTGGTGTTCGTGATGATGAGGGCAAGGTCCTCCTGCGAGAAGTGAGGCGAAGGAGAGCCGGGGTGCTGAGATGTGCTTCTAGCTCCATGCAGCCAGCCAGCGCCCTCATGCAGCAGCTGCGCACCTCTATCTCGTGTGGGTTGAGTGTGATGGTGAAGAACGGCCGCTTGTAGGGCAGCTGGGGCACCGGCATCGTGATTGTCTGCGCCCTGGTGTGTGCAGCGGGCTGCCCCGTGTGAGTGAGCGTGCGTGTGACTTTTAAGATCACTGCGTGAATTTCTTGAGACTTTCCGTCTGAGGTCTCTCTTTTAGACACCCAGGCAGGCGAATCGATGCTCTTCTGCTCACTTACGGCCGCGGGCTGCTTGGTTTTCAGCGCACGTACATATCAACTTGACGTATCTTGTACACAGATTCCGACTTTTACGGTATCGAAGACCTGTTTGATCCAAGTGGGGAGGCTCTGCCAAAGTCGCGCCATCTGTAAATGCTCAATCGAGCACTTGTACAGGGCCTGCATCACAAGGCCAGCGTAAAGATTATTCCACTCCGCTTTCTGCAACGTGCAGCCAGGGCTCCTCGCACATCGGCGGCCAGAATGACGGCGGGTGCGGAGCGCGGGGGCAGGCGGGGAATCACAGGTTGCTGCTGCTGTTGGGGTTTTTGATGGCCAGGCAGTGGCTTGACAGATTGCCGCACGGCCCTAAACAATCGCAGGTGCAAAGACAGCGGCGAGCCCAGACGTCTTGGAGTACTGGCGGCAGGCCGAGGTGGGTGCCGGCGATTCACGACACCCGACATTTATCATGGGGCTGGGTCACGCGTGGTTGGGCGTTCCGGCCTGCGGTCTTGGACGCCCTCGTCGGCGATGCGGCAGGCGGCCCTCAGAGAGCAGACGAGGGCGGAGTGGCCAAGCTGTCATGAGGCCGTAGTTGGGCGGGAAGCCGCGCGACCTGCCGAAGCAGCAGCAGCAGCAGCAGCAGCAGCAGCAGCAGCAGCAGCAGCAGCAGCAGCAGCAGCAGCAGCAGCAGCAGCACCATCATCATCACCAGCAGCAGCAGCAGCAGCAGCAGCAGCAGCAGCAGCAGCAGCAGCAGCAGCAGCAGCAGCAGCAGCAGCACCATCATCATCACCAGCAGCAGCAGCAGCAGCAGCAGCAGCAGGAGCACCATCATCATCACCAGCAGCAGCAGCAGCAAACGCCGCAACACACTCCGACCCGCCCACCTTCAACCCCTCGGCTGCCGCCGTGACAGGCCGTGTGCTTCGATGTCGACAGCACGTTGTGAGCGCAGGCGCGCGCTCGCTTGCTGTGTTGCATGGACGCACACCCATCTGTGGGCCGCAGTTTTGAGGATGTGCGTGCTTGGGCGAGCAATGCCCGCCAGCCGCGCCGAACGGCCTGCCGCGAGCGGCCGCGCCCCACTCGCCGGGCGCACGCGTGCGGTGGTGCCTTGGACGCCGCGCGCATCCGATCCGGCTCGGCCCCGCGACCAGCCTGGATCTGATCTGAGCCCCCACCTGCCGCCCCGGCAGCTGCGAGGACGAGTCCATCGACGAGATCGCGGCTTACCTCGGAGTGGGCGACAAGGTCGCGGCGTTGACGGCCCAGTGAGTGATCTGGGAGGCGATCTGGGAGGCGATCTGTGGTTGAGTAAGGGACCCTGGCATCGATGGGCGCGCAAGCCGGGGCGGGTTCCCAGCACGCGCACGTCGTCGCAACCGGGCGGCTCCACGCAGCCGCCCGCCAGCGTCTGCCGCGGCAGCTGGCGCCGCACTGCGCACGCCACGCCCAGCCCGCAGGCGCGCGTGCGCCACGCCCGACGCCCCGCCGCGCGCACCATCCCGCCCGCCCGCGCGGCTGGCAGGGCTATGGGGGGTTCGGTCAAGTTTGAGGACGCGCTGGCGGCGCGGCTGGGCATCATGCAGCCGAGCGCCGCGCAGCTGCAGCGTTTCCTGGATGAGCATCCCGCGAAGCTGTCGCCAGGTGGGGCGCGCGCGTTGAGCGGATGTGGTGTGGATGTGGGTGGATGTGTTTGCATGTGTGCGCATGTGTGCGTGCGTGCGTGCGTGCGTGCGTGTGTGTGTGTGTGTGTGTGTGTGTGTGTGCGTGCGCGTGCGCGTGTGTGTGCGCATGTGTTTGGGTGTGGATGTGGGTGTGCGTGCGTGCGCGCGTCCGTGTGCGCGTCGCGTGTGTGCGTCGCGTGTGTGCGTCGCGTGTGTGCACTCCAATGGACTTCTTTTTGAGCCGGACTGATCCCTGCCTGCCCCGACGCACCCCTGCTGCCCAACTCCCAGCC